AAACGAATCGAAATAAATATTTTTACATATAATGTAGCACTCAACAAAACCAAAGTTAATGAGAATCATAAAAATATATCAATTGATAAATGCCGATCTAAAAATTATTGATGATTGGCTAAAGTGGAAAGATGCGCTCCAATCAAAATCGAATTCACTAGCAAAATAAAAAGTTACACCAGAAGGTGTAAAGCTAATTGAATATAAATGGAAATTTATATTATATATATATTGATAGTTTCAAGGTGATTGGAACTCCTGAAAAGTTATCAAAAGCTGATGCAGATTTAAAAAATAGAATTTGAGACTAAACATTTCGAAAGGACAAAAGTTTACAAATTATGCATCTAAAAGATAATAATTTTATTCATCAATTTGCTTATACCTAGAAGGTACTAAAGCGATTTTTTTATGGATAAAGTATATCCATTAAGTATCCAATGGTCGTAAAAGTATATTCATTAAGCATCTAATGGTCGTTTGGTCACTTGATTATGGTAAAAATCCTTTATATCACGAGAGAAAAATAGAAAAATTCATAGTCCTGAAATACCATAGTTTAGTGCAATTTGTGCACTAATATATTTTGCAAATTGTTTAAGACTTGATATATCATTTGTTATGATTTAATTTAACTTCTCTCCCAAATGACAATATTGGAAAGAGAAAATCTGGCAAATTTATTTACCAAGACATTACCAACTACAATATTTGAGAAATTGGTGAAAAAGTTTGAAATGCATTGACTTAAAGATTTCAGATGACATTTACAAGAAGTGGAGTTATAAGCAATATTAATACACAAGGAATAGTGTACTCCTTTCTTTCACTAAGCTTTTTCCCACTACATTTTTTTCTAATAAAGTTTTAATGAGACTTTTTTGGTATAATGGACATCAAGAGGAAATATTATGAAATTAATGCAATGATAAGTATACTCATTCATTTCAACAATAGATACATTGGATCATTCATCCCCTACAGGGTTCATTGATACATTTATATACATTGTTGTAATTCATTACTTTTTAATGAAACTACTAAATTTGTATACTTGAAATATTAAATTCATGTATTTATAATAATGTTAGCACATGTAACTTTGACCTTGTAATACCTATAAATAGAGGACATGGAAGCTTCATTTGTAACTTTAAAACCTTAAACGCATGGTTGAATGAAAGAAACAATTACTCTAATCTCCGTCTCTACTTTCCCTTTAGTCACCATTTACTTGGTTCATATTTTATTAGTTTCACAACAATGTTCAAATTTCTAGGGACTCAAGTAGCCTTTCACTTAGTCAAATAAGGCAAAAGTTAGCCGGCCGACCCCAAGCACTAGAAGGAGGTGGAAACAAATCATTTTATACAAGGTGTCATCCTTTTGGCTGCGCAATACAACCCTCTTAATTTGGGACTTCACATATTACACATCATATATCGTCTTTGAGAATTTTCAATTCCTATATCGCAGATTACTTGAATATTGTACAACTTTATTTCTGAAAAGTTAAATAAATTAGCATAAATAACTGAAGACCAATAATTGTGACAATGTGGAAAATGACTACAAATTTGCTATACAATTATATGCCTTTAGAGGCAATACATCAGTCCTTAGAACAGTGTAGAACCTACCACAGTCTAACTGCAACGAGGATGCTGAGAGTACAGAAAAAATGCTGAGAATGCTGAAAAATATCAAACAATCAAATCATGCAGATTGTAGCACCCAAATTACAACTGCTGTAAGGATGCTAAGACTGCTAAAAAATCGAATAATGCAATTATGCGTAAAGCATGCAAGGCACAAAAATACCAAATATACCATTTGAACTCTGCACCAACTACAAATACGTTCATTCTGGATAATCAAGTAGCAAACATACATCAAAGAAGCAATCAAACAAAACCAGTGCTGCGCCATATTGTTATTGTGAAATGAATAGAATTTTGTCACCAATACACAAATACACACCGGTTCATAGACCTTACCCTCGAATAATTGACAGAGAATTTGTAAAGTAGTAAAACATCGCATCATGGAGCAACCACATCATACCAGCACTATCTTTCTAGCATTTTCACCACACTACACCGAATCAGATAGGAAAGTAGTTATCCAACTCGTATAGAGAATTAAAGAGAACAACCGCACTAGTACAATTCCAAAGCAAAAATAGCTTCACAACATTAACGTACAGGGGCTTCCAAGTGGGCAAAACATTTGTTTCTCAAGAGAGCTTCCTATTCGCCAAATTGTAGTACAAGCCAGTCCTATGTATACTTAAAAATAGAAGTCTTAGGATAAGTTCCTTTAGCATCCATAAAGTACTGCTATTTGGTCTGCCAGCATGCTACTCCTCAGATTCAGTTCTCCAAGAAAATCAAGCCATTATGAATTATGAGGCCTATCTCCAAGAGGGTACAGCGAAACTTCATCACATCAATGAATCAACAACTGCCCACTCTGCAAACTCCTCAGAAACTAGTATAGACTGTCACTCAAGGACAGCATCAAGATGAATGCACTTTTCATCAGAAGAAACGGCTGTAGTATGGAAATTTAAGCCAGATTTCTGCTTAGGCTTTGGATAATCCACCATTCATAAAGAGAATGCACTGGAGATTGAACTAACTTAAAGTGAAGGAAAAAAGTCTAAGCTAGAATAAGGTCAATCAATCTCAAACCAAAGAAGACAAGCAGAGCAGAGTTATTAGCTTACAAGCAATATATGGTCTGAGGTATGAATTAGAATCATCTAGGTATGCTAATATAGAAAGATGAGAGAAAACATCAAGTTTGCTGGGGTTAAAAATATGGTATTTGTGTGATGATATCCATGAAGTAGCTTCAAAACCTCATTATAAGACCTAAAAATCGACCAACATACAGGGATTGTAAGCAACAGTAAGACCTAAAAATCAACCAATATATAAGGATTGTAAGCAACAATAAGAGCGGCTTGCTTTAATAATGTGGGATCAGCCAGGAAGCGACTGTAGCATCAACAAGAACAGCGCATTAACACTTGGAATTCCTAATCCAGTCGCCAAAATGCAAATGGAAAGGAATATCAAACGCCTGCAAATTTAATGGATCATTTTAATGATTACTACATATTACACTTGTGTACAGTAATTAGCTGCCAAATACATGGAGGCACATTGAAGTGGAAATTGAAATATTGATGACCGAAACATTTTTCAGTGGCTGAAAAGACAGATTCTCAGCCACCTAGAGATACAAATACATTGTGATGATGATAGGTACAGCAAACACTGAAGGAAGTTTGTCAGCGAAGACAAAGCCATAACTCAGATCATGACACAAATGATCTGTCATAAAGGTTGTAACATCAAGAAAGTTCATGGAAGCATGGATGAACTACGGTGAAATGTTATGAGATGTTATGAATGATATCAACTGTTTGTTGTCCCTAAATATTCCATAGGAATAGCATACTTTTAATTAGTTTAATTTCAGAAAATGCACAGAGTTTCTTTAACACTATTGGCCTGACACCTTCTGATATTATGATGGCTCATTCAGCTGGCAAATTGAATAAGTGGGATTAGAAATCCATTCTTTCCTTCTAAAGACTAGCTATTTGGGGCATTGATAATAACACCTGCAGCCTCAGTCTTAGTACAAAAAAAAGTCTAAAGATTCCTTCTGCTTTCTAAAGCATTAATCCTGCATTTGGTTTTCACCAGGTAATGGCTACAACAACCTACGGTTCAGTCATTAAAAAAATTAAAAATAAAATGAGTTTTGGGCATGAACGAGTCAATTTTCTTCAATACAGCTACTACTAATCCCAGGATAACTGAAACTACCCTTCCCTGAGGGAATATTACATCCCAGATACATTGGATTAGGCTTTTAACTCAAGCTTATAATTCCATGCAGAAAGGTAATCAGACAATACAGTAAACTTGTAATCCATCCACTGTAGTCCCATTATCAGGCTAACCAAATAAGCCTAAGGATGCTTCCACTTGTATAGGTATTTAACACTTCGGGATATGAGGATTCCATGAGAGTAGGTAACACTGTGGGGTGGATTTACTAGACTCAAAACCAAAAGGAAAATTTGTTGAGTTATCAAAAGATTATAGAAGTACTCATAACCCATTAAGAAGGGGAAGAAGTAAAAAAGATAGTAGCTCGAGCAACTGATTAATATTGCTATATTGATCGAACAACTGATTAACATGATTAACTGTAGTCCCATTATCAGGCTAACCAAATAAGCTGAAGGATGCTTCCACTTGTATAGGTATTTAACACTTCGGGATATGAGGATTCCATGAGAGTAGGTAAGACTGTGGGGTGGATTTACTAGACTCAAAACCAAAAGGAATATTTGTTGAGTTATCAAAAGATTATAGAAGTACTCGTAACCCATTAAGAAGGGGAAGAAGTAAAAAAGATAGTAGCTCGAGCAACTGATTAACATGATCAGAGGCTATATTGCTATGAAATGATATACAAATCATCAAGATTACTCCAAGTAGAGTAAATACTAAGTGGAGTAAAAAAAAAGTCCCCCTCAAGGGGAACTTAAGAATTTCATGAGGCTGCTTGTCAAAGAATAATAAGTCGAGAAAGACAACCAAATGAGGAGCAATTGAGCAGAAGGAATAAAGAACATGATAAGTGGTGCTTGCATTCTGTTTCAAGAAGGCTAAAGGATGAACCCAGATTACGTTCAAGCTTCTAAGGGATGTATTTATTCTCATAGAATCATCAGATTAGCTTTTCCGCTTTATATTCATGCAGTCGATCAATGAGAATATCCAGTGTGATTTCAAAAAGTCACAGAAAGGCCAAATCGAATATTGGACTTTGTCCTGAGTACTTCATACCCAGGTCAAGCAAGATTATCAAAAAATATGAGAACTGTAACATTTGTCATTGCCTGTTTTCTGTAGTCAGTAGCTATCATGTGGTAGAAGCATTAGGAACAGATAATGACCAACTACATTAACCACTCACCAAAAATGAAGATCATTCTAAAGAAGCTGATAGGAGGAGGAAAAAGAAAAAACAGAACATTCCATGTTCTATGAGTTGGATGATTATGGACATCATAATCTGACACAAGTACTAAATTGTCAGAGCAAAGCAATGACAGAATAAGATCGAATCGGCAGTAAACAAGGCTAAGAATTACTAAAGCAGTATGAAAGGAAAGAAAACATCCGATTAAGCTCTAAGGAAACCGCAGATTGAGTAGATTCTATATGGTACCACAGCTACGCCCTAAATGCCCGGAGAACAGAAAATGAGGATAACCTTCCATCATCATCTATCTAGATGCTTTTATCGACCAGCATCATCTATATAGATGCTTTCATCGACAGAATGCAAATCCTGGAGAAGGTCACAGAGATGAAGGATCTCAGAGAAGAGAACCTAAATGAAACTAGAAAGGGAGAGTTCATAAGAAACGTCTCAGTCTTAATCCCATCAGAAAGCCAACATGCCTTGACATAACTTATGTGGCCATTATAAATGCCTGAATCAAGTTTTCAGCTGCACGCTTTTGTTCCGATGTACCAGATATTACAGCCACGCGATCGCCCCTAGAGGATTTCGATTCCGGGATCTCTATAGTTGCTCCAGATATCTGAAATAGAACGATTGCATGTACAACTTCAGATTAACCATGAGCTGAATAAAAGGAGACCCATGCTTAGAAATCAATAAAGAATTTCCAGTTATTCTACTATTTTTCAGGAGTAATTCTGAAAAAGTACTTTTACTTGGCAAAAGATTTATTAGCACCCCTAAGGTTAATTACTTTATCTCAGAAGCACCTTTTTTATGAGGCAGAAATTGAAAATTGAAGCTTTTTATTAAAAATGGATTAATTAAGAGCCACTGCTTGGAAAATCACTCTTAATTGGCTCAATAATGGTTATGATTAAGCTCAAATTTAAACTCTCTTAATTTGAGAATCACTTCATCAAAAGCAACCATTGGAAACACTCTTAACCACTGAACAGTGAATGCATGAACTGTATAGCATCACTCCAAAGCATAAATTCGGGAGTTCTGAAACAAGAGCTATCAAATAAAAAACTAAGTCATCTGGCTAGGTGTACACCTTTTGCAGAATATGAAACTCTCTGCAGAGGAGAATAGAATGTCAAACGTTGAAAAGAACAAGCTCAAGGTTCAACTTGGAAAAAAAAAAGAAAAAGGAAGAAGAGAGGGAACACTTGCTTATGTAGCAGAGGTTGGCAAGCTGAACAATATGCTACTGTAAATAACAAAGTGAATAGCCATGAATTACACACTGGACAATTGAACCCTCAAATCTAAATGTCAAACAAGAAATAGAAGATAAGGACATGAATGTTCCTCAAAGAAATAATAGAACATAAGGCATCACACTAGTAAAAGTTATATGAGAAAATCCCAACATGCAGTTTTTCCAACATAGTGGGGCAAGAGAACGGTTGACCATACAATTACCTCTATAAAGCAGAGAGGTAATGGTCCTTTTTATAGGTCAAGAATCCTTTTATTGTATAAGTAATCTATGTAATATATCCCTTGCATAAATTTAAGTGATAGGACAACTTTAAGTAAAAAAACTGTAACGGAGGATCAACCTTACGAATATTCTCGAGATTCATTCCCCCTTTCCCCATGACTTTGCCAACTGCATGTGCAGGAACAACCATCTCCAAAGCAGAGGACTGAGGCAACCTGCTTAGAGGGGCTTCATTTAAGAATATACAACCAAGAAAATGCGGCAAAACCTAGATAACTAAGTTTAGTAAATTAACTTCTTTACATGCACTACTTACCCTCCATAAACCTTTGATGAATATGTAGGCAAAGAACCATAACTATTGTCTCCAATCTGTCAATATGGTACGATCAATAAGAAGACCATCTCAACAACAGCGAGAAGCAGCCAAATTTTGAAACTAAGGCTATTTTAAATTGTTTTTTTATCATTAGAGAATTTTGGAAAAGTATCACTGTAGTACTTTATCGGAAAGGGTATATTTTTGGGTGTTAAAAGAATCTTTTCCAAGCATTTTTTTTGTCCAAAAATTCAAATAAATAAGAGCCTAATAATACATAAACACAAACAACGCATAAAACAAATACAGAGCGAATCTAAAGCATCGAATAGGTTGACTACACATTAATTTTTTTTTAAAGCAACTGTCATTTTCCATATATTTCCTAGTCATCATTCTCCACTTAAAAACCAATCATCATGCATATCCCCATTTTCAGGGTAAATGAATGGGAGTTCAAACAACTATTTTTACAGGTGCCCAAATCACCAATTACAAGTGATGTTAAAACCTCCCATGTGAAATCATCAAAAATATCAAGATTAAAGGAAAATCCACATATCTCCTCATCAAAACCAATTTGATACGAAAAGCTAATGAGATTTCAAAAAAAAAGCCTGACATTCACCGATGAGATACAAAAATCTTACAGGAATAATTTACTAGAAGCAGTCCTCTGCCTCTTAGTCCATATGCCTGAGTTCTAAATTTGGCCTTAGTATGCCTCTCAGTACTTTGTTTCCTTGTTAATTTGGGGTAATAATAACAGAGTATCTTTGCAGTCCATGGGCAGCACAGATGGAGGAGATACTATCTTATCTCTATCCATAATCTTCACATAGCCTAAATAGCTACTAATCCTCAAAAAGAAAAGGACTTTTGCTATAAGATTACCTGTAATTGCTGCAGTCAAATACCATTAAAGGCAAGCCAAGTGATACAAAACGCCAACTAGAAGCTTAGGGCAAAGTTGCCTGAGAAAAAGAAATCCTACCAGCATTTCCCCACAAGTACTCTATCTTATGGCTTCTTCAAATTCCCAAAAAAAAAAATGAAAAATAAAATGATTCACAAAAATCACCATAGGAATGCATTATTTTCTTTTGAGGGTCCATAATGGACTACGCAAAACAAGGCTTTAAAACATGCTCAAACATACCTTTGGGGAGACCAAGCTTTCAAGGAAGAGGCCCTTCTTTATCTTAGAAAATGTTTTATAATCATACAAATGAAAATCACTGGATAAATATCAGCGATGATCCCTATGGGCCCAAAACCATTCTGCATATACTACCAAGTTAGGTTACAAGAGCTCCAAACATCAAAAAGTTCTCAGGCTCCTAGCCATATAACAGTAAGTAATCCAAGCCAATCCACCTAATCTGATTACACCACATCAGCTGACTACTAAGAATTATAAGAATGAGCAACTTGAAGGTTGCATATAAATTGATATTGCAGGTAAAATATTTCTCACATTGGTCCAAAAAAGAGAACCTGAAATGTATCTAGCCATGCAAAATTAGAAAAGATTTTCATAGGATAAAGATATGAGGAAATACAACACCACAACAAGAAGTAAATTTTTGTTGAAACAAGGAATCAAATGTCAAAGTATGCATGTTTCAGTGCTCATAACAACAAAAGAGTATAATTGTCCAATGTAGACCCAAAAAAATGAATAATTGTCCAATGTAGACCCAAAAAAAAATGATATTTATAAAGAATAGACTAAAAAATTCCTTATATGCTATTGCTGATTTCGGTGGAATAGTAAGTACTCAAGTCAACCTAGAGGCTTACCGGAAATGAACCATAACCATAGAGGCTACTTGATGAGAGCATGCTAACCCCAGCCCCAGTTTCAGCTCTCTGATCATAAGTTAAAGGAGCAACTGAAGGAACATTGGGCAGCATTGAGGGTACTGGAAGGCCAGCAGCACCACAGTAAACAGAATCAAAACCACCAGAAGGATGACGAACTCCTTCGTTGCCCTTCAAGACATCGTCACGAAGCCTCAAAACTATCTGAATCAGTGCATCCCTGACACTACAAACTTCGCCAACCACCTGAAGACAGAAGATAAATGTTAGCAATTTAGAGAAGTGAAGTTTAGAAAGCCATAATTGAAATTCAAAAACATTATTCAGGCTAATGGGCTTGGACCTCAACGAGTTCATCATCAGCATCGGCACATTTTGGCATCTCATCTTTGGAGATATGTACATCTGCTTTAGTTCTTTTCCTAATTTCATTTATAATCAAACCACCTTTTCCAATAATACACCCAATAACCTTAGAGGGAACAAGAAGACGCATGGTCACAGTGTCATCTTCCTCATCATTAATCTTGGCTTGCAACAACAATACAGCCTCAACTGCAATGGATTTCTGATCATCTGATGACTGCCAAAAAAACCAGAAGTACAAAAAGGAGAATTGATGAGGGACAAAATACATCACATTAAGCGATTACAGAAACTAATTATACATAAGTTGACCTTAAAACTATTTGTATGAGGACGCCTATTCAACTTCGTGTCACACAAACACACACACACACACACACTCACTCTCTCTCTCTCTCTTCATTCAACACAGAAAGGAGGAGAAGCCCTCCACTTGTGCCTTCCAGATAGTGTCACCAAATACCACAATTGCCACTAGCAGTCAAGCCTCTGAAATTGATCAGAGGCAAGAAGTAGCATCACACCATGATGAACAGGGCCATGATAGTTGCATATGGCATTCAAGTGACACAATAAAGGACTAAGACAAGGTTGTTCATTATAACATTTTGGGCATGTGGGGTTTGGCCGGAATAGTAATGTAGATTGGCATCTCATTCTCAGCCACAACATATCCAGGATTAAGGGAATTTGTTATTGCCTTGACACATGTTTGGATTGATTAAATGGGCAAAGGCATCACTTATCAAAAGAAAAATATACAATCACTTCAGTTTTTCAGACCACTCGAAACCAATTCCTCCTCTACCACGAATGCACCTCCTATCCATATTCCACCAAATCCTTTCCTCGAACACGTCAATTCTATAACTCATTGTCCAACACAGGAGATAAGTAGAAATAAGACATATAAACTCAACTAACATGGCATATCCAACAACCACAATCCTCTGGATTATCAATAATTTTTAATACAAATTATGGCAACAAGAAACTATTATGATCGTACTCCATGGCCACAAATTTTGAGTTGAAAATTTTGAAAGATGTCAAAGAACTCAGTATTGGAGGAAGAATATATTATCCGTCTATGTTACATGGACTCTCCATTTACCCCTGCCACACCCATGTCAACACAATACGGCATGGACAAGGGTGTGGGTTATGTGTCAGATATGGTAAAACAGAATTGGGTGTGTTGACCATAGCAGACATGGCTACAAGAGGAAGATGAAAAGAAATAGATGAGATGGGATACTCGATGAGATGATATAGTTGTAAATGAAGATGAAGAGATTTTTTGGTAAAAGACAAGGACTTGAGTTTGAGTGTAATAGCTGGACTCAAGATGTTGAGGGTAAGAATAAAAACTGTTACTATAAAGATTGTGCTCTACAAACTGTTACTATAAAAACTGTAATAGCTGGACTCTCCATTTCTTAATGTGCTCTAAAGATTGTGCCAATGTCAAATGTCAAAGCACTGACTCATCTTTTTACATACATAGGAAGCACTATAAGAAGACAGGCATGGACATATATTATCCCTTGCACTCAAGCATAAAATGGTTCCACATCCAAGTTGCTCGCAGAATGAACACTACTGCCTGAGGAAAGGTATTAAAAAGTAAAATGTGTCAACAGCATTTGACAGTTAAAAATGAAAAAGTAAAATGTGTCAACAGCATTTGACAGTTAAAGATGAAAGCATACCTCTGTTGAGATGACAGTGATGAGACAGTCATCACGATTGGCCTTGGCATCTTCTACCTCAATACGAGCACCACTAGCCTGCCTTACACTTTTAATGGAACTTCCTCCTTTACCAATAACACGGCCAATCTTACTAGATGGGCAGAGCACCCTTGTAGTCAATTCCTCAGATTTAACATCACTCCCATAACCAGAAACTACAGGAAGAGCAGATGAATAGACAGGAAATGTACTCCCAGTTTCAGTATAACCTGGAAACTCAGGTACGTGTCCAGGATCTAAAACAGAAGGAACAGCTCTGTGTGGCACAATAGGATCTACACTAGGGTACAGTCCAGCAGCAGGGTAGATAGGAACATTTGAAGGGATAATGATACTTGGAGGAGCTTCCGGTATGGTAGTATCAAGAGGTATATCTTCCTTGGGACTAAACTTATACATGATTGCTGAAATTGCAAAAAGTGCTTTCTTCACTGCCTCTGATTCACCAGATATCTATTTGCAACATGAGCAACAGATATCACAAAAGCACACGCTAGCAATATAAAGATACTTTTTAATGAAACATCGGTCATTTAATATTGACAAGTTTGGAGCTAAACATGATATCTGTTAAAAAAAATTGCAAACTAAAATTACTTGCCAGTAGAATTGCCACTTCACAACCAACCATGACACCATAAAACTCATATGCAACAACAGGATTTTTCTTGGAAAGCATCTCTCTGATCTTGCAATCATCCTTTATTTTTTGGAAAAGTAAATTTACCTAATCATAATAAATACTAAATTTCAAACATAAAAAGGAACTAACCAGAATAAAGTTGTCAAAATCCAAAGCACAAGAATGAGTTGGATCACTAGTATCCTTTGCTGTAATCTTAATATTTGTCTTTGTCTTGCTTCTGAGCTTCTTGATTGTGCTTCCAGATTTCCCAATAATGTTCGCAGATTGGCTTGACGGAACAAGAATTTGGCATTCCTCCTTATCTTTCCGCTTCTTATTGTCAGACTCGCCAACTGATGCGATAGCATTTGCAATTGCAAAGTGAACCTTGAGAAGTGCATCCTGAGCAGCACAGAGAGGTTGCTTTTCATTGAATTCATCATCAATCTCCACATCTTCCTTCTCCTTAACATAGCAATAAATTGTTATAACTCTATCATTAGCCCCAGGAAAAGGATCCACAACCTTAACCTTTGCCCTTGTCTCTTGTCTAATGGAATTTATCACTTTCCCACTCTTTCCAATTACACTTCCTATAACATTATCTGGACATAAAATCCTATATACAATCAACTCATCGTTACCCTTCTGGTCTCTCTCAGTCCTCCTTTTCTGGTTCTTACTATCACCATCATCCTTCCATGGACGCTTCCCAAACTCCCCCATCTTAAACAGTCTGAAAAAACCTCCTACCAAAATCTGAAACCCAAAAAATATACATATATATCAAAAATGGAAAAGATAACTTCCCTGAAAATCACAATTTTCCCACGGGAAGCACAAAAGTAGTATCTTTTTTGACAGAAAAAACCACTTTTCCATCTGTCAAAATTGCAAAGAACCCAAGAACCCAGATAAGCTAGTCGCAAGAAAACCTACTAAATCAAATATGTACAAACTAAACCATGTTTCATAAAGGATGCGTGTTTCTGATTCTCATTTCTCAATTTTCAATACAACTAATCAAAACCCACTAAAATGCAATAAACAAACGATTACAATTCAGAAGAACTCTAAATAACTCAGCCTTATGGCTTCATTCCACTAAACAATTCGAATAAGAATTTCATTAGAAGAAAAATAAAGAAAAGGAAACAAAAATAAGGAGAATCAAGAAAGAAATGCCTACTGATACAGAGAATTCATAGCTATTTTTGCGGCTGATATGATAGCCTAAAGCAACATTTTAGATTGCATCAAACGTCATCAAGTATCCTCCAAGATTGAGACTGAAAATCGAAACCCTAAACTGAAAACAAGAAAGTCTGTAACCCCACAACTGCTCTCAGTCGAATTTAGGACTCAATGTGATGTCAGCGTAAAAAGGACTTGGATTTTTCTCCTTCCAATTTTCACGTAACAAAATATTTCCTCAAAAAAAAAAAAAGAAAAAGAAAAGTGAGACAAAATCATATGTACATCAAACTCTACGGTTCAAGCCAACGTTTTCAGAACCAGATCGGATCGGCCGGTTCGACCAGTTGAACCACGAACCGGACATATCACCGGTCCGATCTAGTGCTAAAGCCATAAGTAATGAAAAATCGTTGAAAATTGGGTAAATCGTATGAACCGCTAAAAACCGTTCGAACTGTAAACTAGCGGTTTTTAAAATTTTTCAAAATTTTCAAATATTTACCCAAAATTCAAAGCAAACAATATGAATGGAGCTCTTGGAACCCAAGTCTCCACAGTCACAACAAAAGCTTGTTACCACTGGACTACACACACAATACAAGCTCTTTTTTTTATGTACAATGCTATATCTTAAGTTAAAGACTAAAATCTAATTAAACAAAAGGAAACCCTAGCACTAAGACACAGACACCAGACAGCACCTTTTGGCTTTTGCCTTATCCTTTTAATTGGTTTTTTGTCTCTGCTTCTTCTCTTGTTTTTTTTTTTTCATTTTTTTTCTTTATAACCTTTCCACCTCCAAATCAAATACCCATGACAAAATCTTTCTCAACTCTTCCCCCCACTATCATCAACCTATTATCTTAGTTGATTTATTAGGCAGTTGGAAGTTTCAACTTCCATAAAAGTTTTTTCATTTTGGTGAGTTTAATTTTTTCCATTTCAAGATTTTTGTTTCTATTTCCATTTGCAAATGATTCAGTACAAAGATTTGAAAATTTTAATAAAAAGAAAATTTTCAACTAGTTCATGGCAAAGATGCCATTTGTCTTGTAATAATTGTATTATCTATTACAATAATTTTACAAATTTTTGGAGTTTCATGTATAACTTTTAGAAAATTTATTATTATCTCAACTTAAATTTAGTTTTAAATTATGTTGGTGAATGCATTTTGGGAACTTAAGTTATCAATAACCATGTTAGACTGTGCATCGGCTGTCAAATTCAAGTGTAGAGTGAAGACCCGTAAAGTACTTAGCATTGAAGTTGCCAAAAAAAGACAGAACCGGTGAATCAGTCGGTCGGACCGGTTGGACCGGTCGAACCGCAAACTAGCCCCCTCACCGATTCACTGGCTAGTCTGAGTTTAAAAACATTGGTTCAAACCATTCGGAAAAAAAATATATAACAATTACACCCTTGGAAAATCTACACATCTGGAATCTATATATACTAGTAATTAGATGTAGCAATACGGATAAATGATTTATAATTGATTTTGATTTAATGGATGGTGGATGAAATTTAACCAATCCATTTAGATCAATTTAATAAATGAGTCTAAATGGATTAAATAAAAACCAGTTATCCATTTATAATCCATTTAAATATTTGGATACTTTTTTTGGAGAAAAGAAAAACAAAGCTTTAATGCCTCCCTAAATTAAAGGAGGTTTGTCCACTTTTAATGATCCTCTTCATAAACTTATCGTTACACCCATAAATAACTGCTTGGTCCAATTATCTATTAGCTCAAAAATCTTAGACCAAATTTGCCCACAAAAGATAAAAGATAAAAATATCTTAAACCCAAAGGAGAAACATGCTCTCAAAATTCAGCAAAGCTTCATAGTGACTTGTGCATCATGGAAGTAAATATTGTGGAAATCAATCTTTTCTGGGGAGCTAACTGTCTTTTTCAGAACTTGAGTATTTCACAAGGATTTGATCTAAAAGCAAAACCCCCGTGACTAAAATGTTAACCAAGATCTACATTGCTCTTTTCTATGATCGCTCATTAGATCTGGATAAGATCAATGACTTTCTAATGCAGCCAATAACAAACTAGCATTTGGAAGCAATACATGGCCCTTTTGCTTCTACTAGCTCAACAATCTTAAACCAGATTTTGTGACGCCCCCACTTCTCTCAAGGGCGAATCCAAGGGTATCGGCGGGACGCCTGCTCAGCTCTCGCCAGGATTTGGTACAATCCATAATTCAAAACTAGAAATACTTCAAATAACTTCAATATATATATATATATATATATATATATATATTTAAAGTACTCTAAAACACTTCATACTTACAATTAGTCAGCTCTCAAGTTTAATACAACCCAAAAGAATATTTACTACAGTCATTTGCTATAATACAACTTAAAGTTTTTCCCAAAAGAAAACAATCTAGCACTATTCACGAGCACTTTTGGTCTCGAACTCTGTTAAGGAAAACAAAAGCGTGGAATGAGCTACACAGCCCAGTGAGGTTCCAAGACACTCTAGCAGTTCTAATAAATCAAGTAATTTGAGCATACCACACGTATGGTTCAAGGTTTCACATTGGCACATTAAAATGAGACGGTTATCATGTACAAGTAATTTAAGCATATCACAGGTGTAAGGCCCAAAGACAACCTAAGAGGGGGGTGAATTAGGTTGATTAAATTCTTAATCAAATTTATGCACTTTTTCTTTAATAAAAATTTACCTTCTTTTCTAATAATGATCAACCAAGTAGATTAGAATAAGAGAACAATATTGATCAGAAAAACAAGTATAGATAAGCAATGAGAATTTTATTAAACAAAAAGTAAGATAGAATATCAAACCGATTGTCTACCAAACTTTCCTCAAACTTGAAGACCAATCACTAGGTTGAACAACTTCTCTTTGATGAAAGATGTTCAACTAGATGTACAATGGAGGGAGCACTTCCTCCTTGCCCTAAGCCTCACTTAGTCAAGCTAAAAAGTTTTACAATCATTCAGATAACTCTCAACAAAGCTACACTAATGAAACTTTCAACCACAAAAGAAATGCTCACAAGAAATTCACACCACTTGGAGAACAAATCTAGCTTTGGAGACTATTTTCTAGCTAAAATATCTCTTGAGAACTTGTAAACAAAGTGTGCAAAAGTCTCTCCTTGGTTCAGAATAGTTTGTATTTAAAGGGGACCAAAAATGGGTTTCATCAATGCTTCCAACGGATAGAAGGCAGATGAAGAGTCAGTTAGTCGTTGGGGCTGTCGGACGTCCGACGAACAAATCATCGTCCGAACCTTTCGTCCGAAAACAGCCAAGTTGTAGTTCGGACGTCCAATGCGTTTTTATCGTCCGACAGCATCAGCGTCCGATCGTCGTCAGAGAGTTGGCAAGTCTTCTTCGAATTTTTCGGACGTCCGATGCGGTTGATGTGCGTCCGAGGCGTGCGTCCGATACTTCCGGACATCCGATGCTTCCATATGAGCGTCCGACAGAGCTTTCTTCTTGATGTTCTTTATCCTTTCGGACGTCCGACAGATTCCCTTCGGACGTCCGACATGAGTGTCCTGTTTTTGCTTCTTCTTTTGGTTGATTTTCATTTCATGACATATTCGTACCTGATTCTTTGATAGGCAAAAACACTTATATTTGAAGAAAGTTAGATAAACATTTCAAAGTACTTTGTGATCATTAAAACCAAGAATAACATTTCTATGCCCAATGGTCACATTTCAAGAAAAACACTTATGTTTGCTTTCCAGAAATGGTCACATCTCATTTCTATGCCCAATGTTTATTACCCTGAAATGCTGTATCAATTCTTTGCCAATCTTAGGAAAGACACTGACCAAACTGAGATCATGTCCAGGGTTAATGGGGTAGATTTAGTCTTTGATTCTGAAACTATGAATAACATTTTAAATACTACTATTGAACGGGGATGCAAGGATAAAATTCTAAATTTCTTTTCCTATGAAGAGCACCCTACTGCTGATAATCACTTTGATGGGGCTAAAATGTTGACTTATTTTAAAAGAAGTTTTTCTTCCCCTGCTGATGCTAAACTGAATGATCTTGTCCCTGTGAATCTAATTGCCTTTTCAATCATTTCAAACCTGCTTGTGCCTACTGATGGCCATAGAACTGATGCAAACAAAATGGAGTTGTATCTCTTTTACTGTTTTGGAGAAAAAATTCGTATTGATTTTGGTTTTGTCATGTGCAAGTTTTTACTTCGCTATGCCACTGATTCTCGCAGAAAATTATCTTATGGAAAGTTTCTTCAAAAGATTTTTGAGTTTTACAAAGTTCCAATTCTAGGTGTTTGTCCCAAAGAAGCATCTTCTTATGCCTTTACCAAAGGATATTTTGAAATAAAAAATCTTGTCTTTAAGGATAATCTATGGGCTTATAAGGGGGCATCATCTAGTGAACATAGGTATAAGGCTACACATGATCCTTCATTTGTTGCACTCACTCCCATTCATCCCAGGAAGTCTGCCACTAAGGCATCTTCCTCCTCCAATGATGAAGTGATTGAGCTCCTTCGTGAACTCAAACAGCATGTTCTTCTTCTGGAACATGGTCTAATGCTCACCATGTCCTCTGAGCAACAATCAGCCTTTCTAGACAAAAAGAACCTTCTTTTTCCCCCACCTGTGGTTGAGGAAGTTTCACATGGCAAAGAGCCACGCCCCACTGATCCAAGTTCATCAATTCCGGACCCGAACTCATCAACTCCTGTGACTTCTCATGGCCCTTCCACATCAGATAAAGGCAAGACACCAATTGAAGAAACTGCTGAAGAAGATGAAGAAACTAAAGAGGAGGACCTCTCCCAATATCAGCTCTCTCGAAGAACACCTGGATCCACCTAGTTCATCATTTAGGACATTTGTATTTTGTTTGTCTATTTCATGTTTTCTAGTGTTTGTGGTGTTCAACAATGGATATGCAGATGTTATGTTCATGTTTTCTAGTGTTGTGTTCTTCTAGTTTTTTTTAAGATTATGGCTGTAATGGTTATGAATATATGGATAGATGTTTAAGTATTTTGAATGATGAATGTATGGATATGATGAATGTTTTTTGTTATTGGTTCTCCGTGATATGATTGATGAATGTTTTTGTGGATATGATGGATGTGATTGATTACCCTTTTGTGATGACAAAAAGAGGGAGAGGACTGGTTTGGATTGATTGATGATTTAATTGAAATTGGAATGGCTAATGGATTGAATTGGTAA